TGTAAAGCCCTGGAATTTGTAGTTTTAAGAAAAATTTTAGATTTTGTTGGATGATGTTTTGCAGTTGCCACTGAAAAATACCAGGAAAGTACATAAATTTAGGCTTAAAGGGTGAGTGTACAAAAAGTCATTAATGAAACACACATTTCATACAGAAACCTTTTTACAAATTATGTTTTTGCTGTTTCTCTATGTAACAATTTCTATAATCCTTACAAAATTGAAGCTAAAATGAAATATTTTTATAGCTAAATTAATTTCTCTGGCATTATAAATACTTTCAAAAGTAAATCAATTTTATGAAGAGCTTATATGAGATCTGTTTGAGAGAAAACAAGCTTACATTTCTGTTTTAAAATTGCATGCGAATGATAAGATTTTGTTATTTATTGTTTTAGGTATTTAAAACAGAAAGTGGAGAGAGGCTCCTGGAGATAAATGCCCACGATGATGAAATACTTTGTTGCGCTTTCTCTGCAGATGGTGAATATGTAGCAACGTGTTCAGCTGATAAAAAAGTGAAGGTAAGGAAATGGAGAGCAGACAGTTTGTTTTCAAATTAGTGCTTCCAGTTTAGTTTTAACCAGTTCAGGCAGAGCAGGTTCTTAAGACTAAAGTGTGTCTTTTTTAACTGCCTTAAATCTTACGTGGATAATTCACTACTAAAAAACAACCAGAAAAGCCTCACTTGTTACCTAACATAAAAGATGCTTAATATTAATGTCATTCTTACAGAGTTACCACGTATTCTACTTGTATTATCAGATGATTCTTTTTAAGTGCGAGTCCAATCGTCTCCATAATATGAGATGCAGTATCAAAAAAATCTTTTTTAATGTTTTTTTTTCTATTCTACGTAAATAATTTGAAATTTTTAATTCCTCAGTATTGTAGCAAAACTTTGGTGAAATTCCAGTATTTGTCAGATTCTAATCTGATTCATGACTTCTGCCCTCATAACTTCTTGTTTCGAAATGTACATATATAAGCGTCCCTTTATCTTCATATAATTTTTGAGGTGTTGCTAAAAATGTTTTAGGGATATATCTGTATTCCAGCATAGTTTATAGATTTTTTTTTTTAAATTAAGTTATTTGAAATGTGTTTTAAACTCTTTTTCATCTTTCAATTCTGTCTAGATCTGGAATTCAAGAACAGGCCAGTGTAGGTGTGTATATGAAGAACATTCAGAGCAGGTCAACTGCTGCCAATTCAATAACAGGAGTGGTCAGTACCTTTTAGCCACTTGCTCAAATGACACCTTCATCAAAGTAAGTGGGAAAGGTTGAAATTATTCTCATGCTGCTTATCATAACAGGTTAATTATTGATGTATAAATATATTTTAAGCACTAGAAATTAAGGTGTTTTGGTTTTTTTAACGAGCCTGATGAGGGAGACAGCAACAGATTAAGAGACCTAAGCTCTATAATTGGATTTCAATAAGGCAGAACAGAAGGAGTGTTTATGTTCAGTGAAGGAGAATGAACAAGTCCTCTGTTGGTAGGGCACGAAGGTGAGGGCTTTGACAAGACTTTTAAAGGGTGGAATGGGAATGGGAGAGTGTGGGAATGAAATACCTGATTAAAAACAGCATAAGAAAAATTGAGGCAGAAATTTAATATTGCAAACAATAATAATGTAAAGAACTGGACGCTTAAAGATTGCGGGGGGAAAGCATTATGGAAGTGTAGCAGGTATGTTTTTGCTTAAATTGATTTGGCATAGTAAGGAAATAAAGGTAGAAGCCAACAAAATAACAGTAATCAAAGCAAGAGGTTTGTCAGGCTAACCAGCGGGCGCTGTTGGGATGAGGGGGCAGTATGTGCACACAGAAAGAACAGAACACAGGCAGCTGCAGCCTGCGTCTGAGGGAAGGGGGAAACCGGAAGAATCAGGGAAGAAGTAGACAGTGGCAAAGAGGAATGTGATTTCGTAGTACAGCTGAGCAGATCATGCAGCTGACTGGCCCTGAAGATGCCCTGGCTGTATATTCTTGCCTTTGTTGCAGTGAATGTGCCGATCTTATGCTGCCGTGTTCAGGTTCAAGGAGTCAACTTGGCAAAAACCTCATGTTGGGTGGGACTGGTTTTCTGCTCATTTAGTTCCTTGTCGTGGCTCAGTTGCCCAGTTCCAGTGCAAGACAGCAGAGTGAGATTGTCTGTGTGTGTGTCTGTGTGTGTGTCTGTGTGTGTGTCTGTGTGTGTGTCTGTGTGTGTGTCTGTGTGTGTGTCTGGAGTGTCACTACCAGCTGTAGCTAGCAGGATGTGAGGTGTTTTTATTCTATTGTGAAGTCTCACCTGAGGAGTTCTTGCAAGAGCTTGTGTTTGTGTGAACTGGGGGTAAGCTACAGTTATGATCCGATGTCAAGGCGGAAAGAAGAGGCTTTTGTGCTGACCTCCTGGATGTCTTGTGAGATGCATTTCCTACCTGTGACTTACACCTTGGAACAGGTAGATTTAGAAGGGACTTGTTAAAATGACTATTTTTATACTGTAAATGTGGTTAAGATTTTACACAGATTTGACACTTTGAGTAATGAATAACAACTGAAGTGTGCACAATAATCAAAAGGGTCTTTTTTTCTTTTTTTTTTTTTTTTTTAGAGAACACAGTGCAAGTGACTGCGCTTTTTTTGAGCTCTCACTTGAATAGTCAAAAGCATGATTTTCTTCTTTATATAGGGGAAAGGAAAGAAATTTAGAGATGGAGAAAGGAAGTGGATGCTATAGACTTTGAAAACAGTGTATGTGAGAGGGGTGGGGAGGAGGAGCCCTAAACAAAAAAACAAATGGAACGTTCTTTTAACTTTGTTAGTATGGTTGTAGTAAGGATGATATTCAGACTGTCCAAGACTAACCTGAGAGATTTAATTTTTATTATGTGTAAGCTACATAATTCTAAACTTTAGGGAAGGATGCAAGAGGAAGCTTCTTGCTCATTCTGAAGAACCTTGCAGTAACTTTGTGCTGTTCAAGGGCCTTGCCTGCACTGTGCAAAAAGTTTAACTATTTCTATGTAATTCTGATATTAATAATTCTCTTGCACACTAGCAGATAGAGGTAAATTGTGGGGTAGCCTGGGGCACAGCATCAAGTCCATGGTCATGTGGGTAAAACTAAGGAAAAAAAAGTATTTGAGAAGAGCAAAAACAATCTGTCCTTGAATAATTCATGAATATGATGATATTTATGTTTATTTCTCACACAGCTTTGGGATTTGAACAAAAAGTACTGTAGAAATACGATGATTGGTCATGAAAACTCCGTCAATCACTGTAGATTTTCACCAAATGATGAATATGTTGCTAGTTGCTCAACAGATGGAACAGTTAAGGTACACAATGTATTTTTAAATCAACTGTTTTGTTGATGATTTTTTTTTATAAAATGCAAAATAATTATAAGAAAACTTTATGTCTGCGTGATCAACTTTAAAGAATTAAATTCTGAAACAGTTGCTTATTGGTTTCATTTTTAATGCAAGATTTTGAAATGGCTTATCCAGTACCAGGAAAAAAAGTTGTGGGCCTGTAGTATTCTGTAGCCACATCAGAAGAGGCTTTCTGTGTTTTCTTTCACTTTTTATTGCAGCTTTGGGAAGCACGCTCAGCAAATGAATTGAAAAGTATTGAGATAAAAGATTTCTTCAAAAATGCAGATGAGCAGCCAGATGACGTGGAGGTTTTAGTAAAATGTTGTTCTTGGTCCAGAAATGGTGACATGATTTTGGTGGTAGCTAAAAATAAGCTTCTGGTAAGCACCTCACTTTTTCTGGAAGAAGTATATTACTGTGTAGGTAGAACTTATGATTAAATGTAGGCCATTAAGATGTCTCTATATAAGATGAGTGGTTTCAAGTGTGTATAAAGTAAAAATATGTGGACAGCAACTTGCTGTCTGAGAGAAATACCGTCTAAATTCAAGAGTGTACACTGTTGAGCATATAGGCTGTCTATAGTGAAGTCATTCAAACTGGGTGTTAATTATTGCAATTATGTGTTCACAGCTTTTTGATGTTACAACATGCAATTTGTTGTCACAAGTCATCATAAGTCATCACAGCACAATCCAATACTGTGACTTTTGTCCTGGTGATGAGTTAGTAGCAATTGCATTGCCTCACTGTTCTGTCGAGGTAAGTGATTGTTTTTGCCATGGTATGCCAGGAAAAACTACTTGCAATATAAAATATGACATTTGTCTTAATAGTTTCTTGTATGCACAGGTGTAATGTATGTAGATACCTTAGCAGGCTTTCCATGTGCTTCATTCTTCTTATTTATCATTTGCTTCTGAAATGTAAAAGGTGAATTGGGAAGGAATGTTTTAACTGAAATGTAAAAGGTGAATTGGGAAGGAATGTTTTAAAGTCACATGTTCATTTTTGGACAAAGGAACTCATGTTTATATAAAAAGACTAGTCTACTAAATTTATTTCAAGTTATTGTTGTCACTCTCAGGAGTATTGCTTAATTCATACCAACCCAACCCAAACCCTCTCTCCTTCTATGTGCTGCTACAGAATGTGGCAACTCACTACAAAGGAATGAAACAGCCAGAATAACTTTGGGTCTGGCATGGCTAGAGTAAGCCTGTTTGAGTATTAGGATAGTTGTGTTTGTTTTTTTTTTTATGGTTTGGGGTTTTTTGGTTTTGCAGTCTACATAGTTAAGTTGAACTTAACTTGTGTATTTCTTTTTGTACTGTTAGTGGTTTTTTCTCTTCTTCCCTCTCCCCCTTTGTTTTTAAAAAAGACAGCAGTCAAAGAGGCTGCTGATTCAATGTCACTGACCATTGAAGTGTGATAAGCAAGCACAGTTCTTGTTACACCTGATTTCACAATGAAAAGTAAGAAAATACTAGAAGAAACAGTAATTAAATAGACTGCTTCTTGTTTTGCACTGTTTTTCCTGTAAATGCAATCTAAATCCATTTGAATTCTTTAATATTTTTATTTTAGTTATGGAATATTAAAACTTTATCAAAAGTGGCATATTGCAGGGGACACATGAGCTGGGTTCACTGTGTGACATTTTCACCAGATGGATCTTTATTTCTAACATCATCTGATGACCAGACAATACGTGTAAGACAATTCTTTATTTTTTCAAAAAAATTTGAATTTTTATGCATATTATTAAAACATTTAAGCATTATAAAATTATCACGTGTGTAATATACTTGTGTTTAGTATTTGTGTATGTTTATAGCCAATATAAATGTAAAACATTTGTTACAAAATGCACAAGATGTACTGTACAAGATGTACAGTAAAATGAAGTAGGTTTTATTACTCTATTTACTGTTTATCTACATTTACTGTATGTCTATATGATATTTTTAAGTCAGGTGGCTGTTTTGTTTTTAGATTTTATCTGAATCAGGAATTGTGAAGGTTTTTGAGGATTCTAGCAGTTGCAATACTACTTTCTGTATTAGATATATTTGAATGTTAATATTTAGGATAGATTTCTATAGTAGTAATGCCTCATAAAAACCTCTGAAAGTAGAACAGTAGTTTACCTAAGTGACTTTTTTTTTTTTTGCCAATGTTAAGAATTACATTCTTGAAACTTAAAGCAATTAAGTATGGAAATCTGTACTTGGTATTTTTTTGTAATTGGATTTTAATGTTGTTCTTTGGGTTAGAAAATTGTGGACATTATAGCTGTGACTCTAAATTCGATGGAGTCTTACTAGTCAGCCTGGAAAAAATTAGTTCTGTTTCATCTGTTGGAATTACATAGTAATTGCACAACATTTCCCAGTAAGTAAAAATAGCAGAAATAAAATTTTCATTGATTTAAAAAGTCAGCGCTACTTGCAAGTTTATAAGACTTTTGGTTTACTTGTACTCTTACACAGCAGGCTTTACATCTTATCCTTTAATAAAAGTAATGAAATACTCTGTTTTTCAACAGATTTGGGAAACAAAGAAAGTGTGCAAGTCTTCTGATGCTGTGCTAAAAAGTGAACTAGATGTTGTATTTCACAATGGTGAAGTGATGATTTTAGCAATTTATAATCAGAAGCATTTACAAGTAAGCTATATTTCTCAATTTGAATGTTGTCTGCAGAACTGCTTATTCATGGTTTTCAACAGTTGAATCTGTAGATGACTCTTAATGTGTGCTAACATTTCTATAACTCAAAACTCTGCCTAGTTAATAAGCAAAAATGAAGTTTGAGGGGAAATTTCCACACTGATGTCAAAACTGAAGCTGGATGCAGACGAACAAAACTGTTTTCTCTTTGTGACTCAGGGAGGCCGTGTGTCTTCCAAGTGACATACAGAGTGAGTAATGTGAGCAGCGTGTACAGACCAGGTGTTACACAGTGAGTCAGAATTACTGGGTAATAGCTGAAAGAATCCCCTCAAATTTGGGGAGTGAAGGGTGTAAGCCTAGGTCTGTCTATAGCCTTGGGAGAGCATGAGGCCTTCTATGTCCTAAAGAAAATAGTACCAGTAGATACACTTACATTACTGTGGACCACCCCACTGAGTACATCAGCATCTAAAATATATTTTTCCATTCCATGGTAGAAAATGCATACGTTATTTTTTTAAAATTGTGATTCTCCAATACATCAAATAAAGTCAGTTGATAGGATTTTCTTTGAAGTGAAGGCAATACAATTCATTCAGATTATGCTTCTACTTGATTTTACAATTTTGCTGTTCAAAAGCAGAAGCACTTTCGTATTTGTTGCAGAATGCTGCCTATGCAAACCTATTGCATGTTGACCCACAGAATGGGCAATGCCGTATCTTTGGCCATGAGGCAGCTATTACAGGTGTTGAGCCTAAAGCTGCATCTGAATAAAAAAGGAACATTTTTTTTGGACTGGGAAAGCAGTCAGCTTTTATTGCTGGGTGTATAGATGAGCAAGAGTTGGAGTGGATTCTGCTGCCATATGCTCAGAGACACTGTGCAGATAATCTTTTTGTGTAGGGTCGTGTCCTTTCTCCTAATTTGGCCAAAGGCAAACATGTAAGCTATGTAATCCTGGCTAATCAGCATGACGGTTGCCTTTATTTGTAGTCCTAGAGATGCTCCGTGTTCCTAGGCTGCCACTAGAATGAGAGCTGTATTTGCAGAAACTTCTATTCTTGTTTGCCCTGGCCTTCCTGTTTCTCTCTTCGTGATTAACTTCTGTCCTTCTCCTTTTGTCTGTCTTGTCAACAAGTTAGTGGTTTCTTACTCTACCTAAAAATCCAGTTAAAAAACCCCTTAAGTGGAATGGTGGTGATATTTGAGTAGCAGGGAAGATAGCTGTGGAAATCACTACAGTGTCTCTGGTAGAGCCTTGGCAATAAAAAAAAATTCAGACTTTGAGCACACAGAACACGGTTAAAGTTTAAACTAATATTTATGTGAAGAAATAATATGTGAGAAAGAGAAGCTACATCTGTTGCAATCAAGAGATGGGAGGAACTGCAGCAAATGGAGTTACATCTGTTTACATGTGGGGAGCAGTTTAGGATAATTGCTACTTTTTACCTTCCTAGACTGTAAAATCTGTAGTCTGACTCTCATTTGAATTAGTAGATCTGATCTATTTATTTATGGTTAGTCTATTTGTGTTGTAACTTTACTTGAACCATTTCCTAGAGAAAACTGCTGAGATTTTCTGCCCTAAATACAATAATCTGACATCCTGTAGAGGTGCAGTCGTGAGAGAAGACTCCATTGTGGCAAGAACATAGATTTTTCATCCTTGCACAAGAAGAGAAATTGACTGAAAAGACAAATTGCAGTTAAGCATATGTACTGTAATTTAACAGTGCATCTCTGCTGTCACATCTCTGAAAGTAGTTGGTTTTTTTGCAGCTGTGGTAATTTGCAATTTGTAATCTCTCAGAGCTGGGGTCCTGCTGACCTTTTGACATGCGATAGGACAACTTTTTTAAATGCTTCGCATTGGTAGCTTTTTAAACTTAAACTTTGTAAGTTATGGTATTTTAAAGATTATTTTATTTGAGGGCAATACTGAGTTGAGATTTGGTGTGCTATGTGTGCCAAGAAGTTCAAAGTGATGCTTAGAGGGATGCACTTAAAGTATTTTATGCTCCATGTGACATGAGGTGCATAATCTATCTGGCAAGGTAAATTTGAGCATGGACCTCACTATATGGCTTCTGAAATTTGGTAGCAGTATTTTGAGTTACTATTTTCTGTAGTCAGACAAACTTTAAACAGCCTCCTGAGATGAGTTTCCTTCTGCAAACCTGTCCTGTTCAGAGAGCATTCTGTGAAGATGGTTACACTGACCTTCAAAGTAATTGATTTATGAAAGTAACTGATCCTTATAATTCAAAGTTTGAAAGTGGTACACTGTTCTCTTTAGCATTCTTTGCTCTGTATTGTAATTAATTTAATTATAAATGTAAAAAATATTGTAACAGCTTAATTAACTTTCTATCTTGCAGCTTGTCAATGGAAATACGGACAATGTTATCATGCAGACAGCAGCTCAAGAAGCCCCCATTTCCTGCTGCTGCTTAAGTGAAGATCTTAAATTCGCAGCTTTTGGGCAGGAGAGTGGAACAATAAAGGTATTAAATCATAAATTTGATTTTAAAAATAGTAGGAAAACTTCTTCGTGCTTTTTCTTCTTAAAGTAATGCCATTTGAATGACTTTTTACAATAATATTCTTCATCATAGTACTTAAAAGTTTTTGCTTATATGAGTGATGCCTAAATGACAATAAATAAAAGGTAATGCTAGTAAGGTAGCTCAGAATCTCGTTTTACCAAGGACTAAGCTAATATGAATTTTTTAGTTGTTTCTGTCCATCGACTGAGAATCGTGTGTTTACAATCTCATGTTATTTAAAAAAGAATTTGCATATTTTCTTTCTTTGCTGCATTCTTCGTTGTGAAGGTATTACAGTTGTTGGATGGGAAAGTTCTGAAGTCCCGGGAGGCCTACAGGACATCCGTGCAGCATTGTCGATTTACATCTGATTGTCAGACTCTCGTTTCGAGTGCTCACGATTCAGTTGTACAGGTTTGGAGTCATAACTTGCAATTTATTTAAAAAGGTCTTTTCTACTATAGGTGATGTAAACTGGGTACGTGACTACTGAATTATGTATTGCTCCATCTTGGGGCAAGGAACTGTAGAAACTGTGACCTTTCTGTTTTCAGTGCTGTGGGTGATAGAAAGGCACCAGCTTCTTTAAGATGTGTGAAAGGGACATTGATTTTCAAACAAGATAACTCAGCAATTCTGATTGCATGTGTGAAGGGTTTGGGATGTGGCCCAGAACTGGCGATACGTGGTAGGTCTGAGAGTAGGCTTACAGTGCCTGAAGGAATGAGGTGAAAAGATGTGTCTTTGGGCAGGCTGCTGTGTTTGCCTGGCTCAGGACAGTGCTGAATACAGACACTGGCTAGCAATAGCATGGCTGCACTAATGTAGTCTCAAATTAATAAGCTCTGCCTCTCAGTGAGGTAGGTTGGCTCCAGAGAAGCAGTCTGGTGTGTCTACATTAGCATTTTAGCTCACCTCAGGGATGTACTTTTGAAGTGAACGTCTCGATCGTTTATGCTTACTGTGCTTCAGTTTCTGCTTGAGCCCTAAACTAGAGCATGTGCTCTACCTGCTAATGATCATTCACCAACTTGCACTGGTTGGAAGTTAAAACCTTCAAAACATATGTAGGTACTGCTCATCAGCATTGTTTTACTCACCGAATCCGTTCCCGCATCACTGTTCTGCCAATTTATTAATGTACGTGTAACTTTACACAGCATCCCACTTCGGTGGTGGTCGCTGTGGTCAGTGCAGCAGCTCACTGCTTTGCTGGCTTTTGGGTGCTTCTTCCAGGTCTAACATGGAATAGCTTTTCTCTTGGGGCCTCAGCTCCCTCTGGTGGACAATGTCTCAGTTAAACCTCCAGCATTGTCGTCTGAACACCTTTGCTTTCATTCTTTGATGCAGAAAACTTGTTTAAATTCAATAGATGCTTAATGGATTCTGTAAAATAAAACGATACTTCTTCAGTTTTTGGCGAATAACTGAACTAAAAATATATGTGCCCTTTTGTTACAAAAATGCAAAGCCAAATGGCATTTCACTAAAAATATCATAGAATCATAGAATGTTAGGAGTTGGAAGGGACCTCTAGAAATCATCTGGTCCAGTCCCCCTGCCAGAGCAGATCCCCTAGGGCAGCCACACAGGAACACATCCAGGTGGGTTTTGAAAGTCTCCAGAGAAGGAGACTCCACAACCTCTCTGGGCAGCCTGTGCCAGGGCTCTGTCACCCTCACAGTGAAGAAGTTTCTCCTCATGTTGAGGTGGAACTTCCTATGTTCTAACTTAAACCTATTATTTCTTGTTCTATTACTGGGCACCACTGAGAAGAGATTGTCTCCTTCCTCTTGACACCCACCCCTCAGATATTTATATATGTTAATAAGGTCCCCATATATATATATATGTGCTTTAGAAATATAAGAGAAAGTTAATTTAAATATGTAAAACACGAGTTTTATTGTTGCAATAATCAAAGGTTTAAACTCCAAAGCTTTTAGGGTGCCTAGAAAGTTACTGTTCTGCTTTTTTTTCTTTAAATTACCAGTGAATTTAAGCATAATTTTCACTTAGAAAATCAGATTATGTGTGTATTACAGGGAACTCTCCCATATGTTGACTGTTAAATACTACGTCATTCTCAATCTTCAGCTTCTCTACTATGGATATCTTCAATGCCTAACATTTTAATTAGTTACCACCTATATAAGAGCTTCTTATTATTCCTGTGACTTAAAAATCAGTCTGTTAGTTCGTTCTTCTTAATTTATGTTTGCCATTATTTTTTTTTTAAAGTATTCTATCTCTATGATTAGGTATGGAATTGGCACTTGAATGAGTGTCTGCTTCTAAGAGGACATAAGGAAGCAATTAAGGATTTTAGACTTCTAGAAAATTCAAAACTTCTTTCCTGGTCTTTTGATGGAACTGTTAAGGTAATTAAAGGATGGAAATTGGCAAATCGTGTAAAATACATTTTACTATCTCTTCTAACATTTGATATTTCATATACTTTGTGTTAACACACATTTTATTGAATCGATCCCAACATAAGCTCACTTTTAAGGCACAATTCTGCGTTTTCTGTTTATACTAAGATTTGCACTGTGGTATTTGAACTATACCAGTAAGTATAACAAAATTGGCCATATCAGAACTACGTAGCTGAATTTTTATCTCTTAAATATTGTTGTGTAAGATGCAGATGTTGTAACCTGGTTTTCCTGTATATTTGGCAGGTTTGGAATATTGCTACTGGAGACGCAGAAAAAGATTTTGCTTGCCATGGAGGTGCTGTTCTTTCCTGTGCTGTTTCACCTGATGGTAGTAAATTTTCATCTACTTCTGCTGACAAAACTGCGAAGGTTGGTTACTTTCTGTATGAAGATAAAAATGATGTCTTATTTGTCCTAAAATGTTTGAGATTAGATATATATATATATATATATATATATTTTATTCTGAGGTAGCTTGTGATTATCTAAGTTACTATGTTGTATTTCTAGTATTAAATTTCCTGTATCTGTGAACATGTGTCTAAAGCTGTTATGATCATTCACAGTTTATCTTGGATAGAGCTTGAGGCTGTCTTGGTGACTTCTGTGTAAATAAAATGCACATTTAATGCAAAAGTTTGTGGAGAACACTTTAGTCCTTTAGTATTGATTTTTTAAATAGCTTGACATTCTTAATTTGGAAACCAAAGGTGAGAAAAACTTCCAAAAATTCCAGTGAAAGGATTCGTACCATAGGTTCTGATATTCCTGTTCAGGAGCAAGGTGCAAAAAGAAGTGAACTGTTCCATATTCTGGGGCTGCTGCATTAGATTATTTTTAGTGTCCCATTAGGTTTTTCAAATATAACTTTAAATTGATTGTTGAATCCTTTTTCTACATACAGCTTTAAACCTTCTTGTAAATGCATTAGATTCATTAAAGACTATATTCCATGGAAGAAGATATACTTGCAGTTGGTTCAGTAACTTGTAGCAAATGGATTCTTGTGTGCTTCAGATAATAAAAAGAAAAACAAATTACTACAGTATAATACATAAATAAATGCACACACGTATATACAAAAAGTCTTCTGTACATTTGAATACTAATACATTTTTAGAAAGAAGTCGTAATTGGTTTTGAGCTTATCTTTTTCTCTTTCCTGTAATGTTTTCCATTTAGATATGGAGCTTTGAAAGTTTGTTGGTTCTTCATGAGCTGAGAGGTCATGAAGCCTGTGTGCGGTGCTGCGCTTTCTCTCCTAATAACAGATTACTGGCCACTGGAGATGACAAAGGAGAAATAAGGGTACTGCCTTAAACCTGGTGTTTATTTTGTAATTCAGTTGATAGTTCACAGCCAGAGGAGTTCTTGTAGTTTGTGTTCTGCACGTCTGATTCATTGGCTTTGTGGTGTTGGTTGGCTTTGAGTTGAAAATTGCAATTTGCTGCATGAGACAGTAGTTTGTAACCATATTGATAGATTTATGTTCCAGGAATGCTGAGAAACCGATTTGCATGATCTAGTAATAATTCCACTGTGAACTGCACGTGTGATTAAATCCTCCCTATATGATGCAGTTCTAAGAGTGGAATTCGCTTTTTGGATTATTCTGTCACTTCAAGTAGAATGCCTTTGTTTGTTTGCTTTTTGTTTGTTTTTTTCTCTGCATTAAGTTTACCTATAAACATAATCTTTCCTCTCTTTTAGATTTGGGACATTTTAACAGGTGCATTACTTCACCTCTGCTCCCCAGTTACTGTAGATGAAGGAGAACCAACACACGGTGGTTGGGTGACAGACCTCTCATTTTCTCCTGACAGTAGGATGCTTGTGTCATCTGGAGGCTATCTTAAGGTACGCCGTGAAATAATAAAATAACCTAACCTGTACCTAATTAAATGGCACTACTCTGATAATTCTTAAGGAAAATGCAGATTAATTCAAAGAAGCAAACCTGAAATGTTTTTCTTAACGCAAAGGTGCTCCATTTCGTGACTGTGTAGCATTTTTCACTTCTTTTCTTCTCAAATCGGAAACCCCTTGAAAAGGTCTCATAAGAATTCAGACATTTTCAAACTCCATGTAGTCCATTTTTATTAGCTTCGGATTTTTATTACCAACATCCTTCGATACCATCTTTATTATTAAAGATCCCACTCATTTTTGTCTGCCTTAATATCCACTCAATTTCAACAGCAGTTGTGTTCTTTATAATAAGCAGAAAAATGCTCTGTGCCAGGCCTTTGTTTTTTAAGATACTGATTTTTAAATTTTTGCACAAATAGAAATCCAGAAAGAATTGTAAGTGATAATTTTCTGCCTTTTATACATTCTTAAAAGTGCATTTACTTAAAAACATAAACATTTAAACATTTTGTAAGTAATCTTTGTGTCCTTGAAATTGAACAACTTCAATCTTTTCCAGGTTTCTTTTTGTCTGAAAGTCTTATACTTTAGTGGCTGATCCTGAACATTTTCTACTTAAGATTGCTTGTATTTTTTATTTTTAATTCTACCTCTTTCGGGAAAGCGGGCAGCTGGGCTTGCTATGCCAAACCTGTTTACAGAATTTACTCTAAGCTTCTTTCAACCAACTGAAAGTGTGTTGTTGGATTTGTTTTCTTTATAGTGGTGGGATGTAACTACTGGAGAATCCTTACAAACCTTCTACACAAATGGAACAAACCTCAAGTCAATCCACGTGTCCCCTAATTTCAAAGTGTGTGTGACTGTTGATAATCTTGGTATTCTTTATGTATTACAGAAGATGTGATTAATGTGCTGAACACTCCAAAGATGGTTCATTTTTTTTAAAGCTGGAAACTAAGTTCTGCTGAATGTTTGTCTGACACTCATTAAGCTGTGAATTGTATTTCATTGTTGTATTCATGATGCTTTAATGTATATTTATGTACATTTATGCATGTTTTTTCAAATGAACTTGCATTTAATTTTGTTTTTAATAAGCATTATTATAATCCTTAATTCTTGATTTGCATTTTAAGTATGTTGCTTCCAATTTTGTAAGGAAATTATATTAAGATTTATTCCAATTACTTGAAATTAATATTAATGACAGTGAAAAAATAACAGGAATATAATTCTTTGAAACTGTATTTTGTGCTAAGGCCAGTGGCTAAATGCTCTCTAGGCACAAACACAGCTGTGTAAGATGCAGAAAACCTTTTTTTTTTTTTTTTTTTTGTTGTACTGTGATGCAAGGATTTTCATTTACTACAGAATGGAAAGATTTAGGGACATCCTTCATTTGAAAAAGGAAACTAGCTCTCTTGGTGCTTGATGTTCAAATCAAGTAGCTGTTCAGTTTACAGCAGCAGTGCTTCCAACTTTTGCCAAGAACCTTCATGCTTCCAACCTTGTGAAGATAAAGTGCATTGTGACACAGATGAATTATTCTTGTTAAGGGCAACACTGAGTCAGAAGGGATACTGCAATTGAAGTGGAAGAGGTTGTGCCAGATTTCCAGTCAAAGGGTGCATGCAGCTAAACTGAGAATGGAAATGATTTTAAAAGTATATATTGGAAAAATATAAGACTTTTCCTTTTGGAATTAGCCTTCAGTTTATACTATGAAAACATTTTACCATTGTTTACGTAGGATTCTACACACAGGGATCTCTTGCCTGGTAATGTGTGATTTTTTTTTTTTTCCCCTCTTTTTTCCTATTTTTACGGCCTATTTATAGATTTAATATGGAGGAGAAATGTTGATGTTTGGTACTAATTATACTTGACATATCTTTTATGAATAATAAGGTATTGATTTTTCTTAGATACCTAATAAGCCTTGTTCTAGCAAATTGCCTCTCAACAGCAATGAGCAACTGCACAAGTATTTTTAAAGCATTTTTCATCATGATTTTCCTATTTTTGTAGTTGGCAGCAGGACACTTCATGTAAGTACTTGATTGTAAAAGGTACATTAGAAAGTGTCTCAACTGATACCGAATAATGAAATTCTAACTTTTAGTACCTTTTGTGTGCATTTCAGAAGTTTTAATATACATTCTTTGTATCTTCCTGTTTTTGAGAATCACCAGTCCTTTCTCGTTTTTTAACTTGAAATTCCACCATTTCTAAGGTGCTATTGAATACGGGTCAGTGTAGTTGTAGTACTGCTGGCAGAAATGTAAAGAAATTCAGTAGAAAAAATATGGTGTTTTGTATTCTAAGTATGTACAAGACTGAATAAAGATAATCCAGGCAATATTGACGAAAGTTGTAAATGAAAAAGTTGTGTTTGGTTCATTGTTGGTTTGTTTGTTTGTTTGCTTGTTTTTTTTAACAGGGTAGGAGGGAGGGGGAATGCTGCCTCTCTTACTGTCTTTTATTGGGGTTTTATTTTCAATCTGAATGTAAAGCTACTTTACGAACTGCCTCAGAAATGCAGTTGACAGGTTAGCAACAGTACTAAAGATTAGGATGGAGAAAAAAATGAACAAAGGGGAATGGAAGTCTTGGAACGTGTCCTGCAGTGTTCAGACGGAGTTGCTGCTGCTGTCCGGTTTGTAGGGACCTCATCGGTACCCTCTGTGAACAGCGAAAGATTCAAGGAGCAGGAAGCTTCTCTCAGCCAATGCCCCTTGATTGCACAGGCGGGGGTGTCCTTCTGGTTTGTCTGAACTTCGAGACCCAACTAGGCAAAGAGATACAGTGCAAGTGTTTTCTCACGAGGAACCAGGGCAGAAAGTTCTCTTTTGTGACAACACGAAGGAAAATGAAGAAAGCGAGTGATGGACGAGTGGAGTTCATAGGTGATTTGGCTGAGGGAGCTGGGATTGTTCAGCCCAGAGACCTTATAACTTCCTTCAAGTACCTGAAGTGAACCTCCAGGAAGGCTGGAAAGGGATTTTTTTACAAGATTGTTCAGCCATAGGACAACGGGAAATGGATTTAAATTGAAGGAGAATAGGTTTAGGATCTTAGGAAGAAATTCTTCAATATGAGGGTGAAAAGACTCTGGAATAGATTGCCCAGAGAGGTTGTGGATGCCCCTTTCCTGGAGGTGTTCAAGGCCAGGTTGGATGAGGCCTTGAGCAACCTGGTCTAGTTGAGGGCAGGGAGGTTGGATTAGAAGGTCTCTAAGGTCCCTTCCAACCTAGGCCATTCTGTGTTTCTATGATTCTATGATTTCAATTTTGAAGTGAGTAGTGTAGAAGCGTAAAGTGTGAAATAAATAGTGCATCTCTGAATTATTCTGCAAGAATGACAACATAGCTGGAACCAAGGAAGTGGACTTTCCTGGAAGATAGTGTTTAAATAGAGTCAGGATGGTTGTGTTTATGTGCAAACAGGTGGAGTTTTTGTATCTGAGGTGGAAGAAGAGATGTAGCAATGAGAAAGTCTGAAGAGCCACAGAATAGGTATGATTTGCAGGAAGAGGATGACAAAATTTAAATGAAAAAATATTAAAATTAGGGCCAAGACAGTGAGTTCTTGCATGTAAAATATTTAAGAAGGTTAAGGCAGTTTACTGTAATAAAAAGTGAAGTCGTGCTGTGTCATCAGATTTAGCTGTCCTCTTTGATGTTAGACGCATTTTGAAGGAAACAAAAGAAAGTTTGGCCAGAAGCAATTTTTATGTAGATTGAACATTAGTGCTCCCATTATCTCTTGTAATGCCAGATCAAATTGAATCAGTCTGCATTCAAATTTAACTAATGAGCATTGCCAGTTTTATCTAGTTCTTTAGCTGAAATTACAATAGGCTTCTGCGTAAACAGTTTTTAGGTACACTTCCTATTAACGATGCCTCTTAATTTCTGTAGAAGTTTTGAGCCTCTCCACTTCGGCAATTAGACCTACAGCTCCTTCACAAATCTTGGTTTTTGTCTTTCCTTTATTAACAAGAAATTGTACCAACATGCAATTGAGCTGCTCAACAGGAAGCTTTGTATTGCCTTGAACTGTACCATTCCCTTGAACTACAGTGTTCCCTTTCCCCCTCTCTTATCTTACGCAGTTGTTTGAAACGGAACTATGGAGTTACTGCCTGAGATTTTTCTGTGTGAAGGTTTGTAGATTGATTCTAGTGCTGGCATGTGTGGGTAGAGTGCACACCAGTAACCTGTTGCCGGTAGAAGAACATCCTCCATCCAAAACTTACGTTGCCTCCCCTAGAAAATGATGCAGTTAAACTCCCTGTTATAGAATGTGGTGTGAATTGCTGATTTTTAAAATTTTTTTATTTCCCCTCAATTTTTTATTTAATGAAGTCTCTATATATGGGACCCAGTTCCTCAGGTTGTATCTAGCTATGACAGAGCCTGTGTCCTTGTCTCTGCTCTCCTGAGGTGTTTTACAGAAGCTGATGCTTTGCCAGTTTCAAGGGAAAACCAAGCTGAGAAAACAGTCTGACTGGGGCAATTTCTTCTGCCCTCCTGGATCAGGATGTTGCAGGGAGGCCACTCTGCCCTGTCTTCAAGAAGCTGGTAAATCCAGAATAACAGTAGATCACAGAGAATTCAAGTATGTTCTTGCAGTTTCTAGTAAAACATGAACTCCTTACTGTTGCTCTTTTTCCTTCATAGCAAGTACAGATGCTATGGAAATGGCAAGGAATGCAGAAGCCAGCCTTGTGACAGAGAGATGCCTTCTCATGTTTGCCTCTGCTAGCACACGCTCGGGCATATTTGTCCACATTTTGCTTTTCTCCTGCTTCTGTGTGCTACGAAGACACAAATTTCTTTGGGCTTATAGATGGTGATGATAATGGCCAAGAGCCCTTGGAACTTGGGGTCTCTTACTTCTGCTGTGATTTCAAGAAGAGCGGAAGCCAAATGAAACTTACTGCTTGGAGAACAGGGAGCATGCCAGATACACAGAACAATTTCAGGGTGATTTTTGTGCTCAGTTTCACTTTGCTTTTTCACGCTAGGAATAGAACATGATCACTGGCTCTGCCAGTGTGCGAGAAGGTGTTAAGCTGAGACCAGGCCTGTTCGTGACACGAACCCCAGCAGTAGGTTGACCTGTATTTTTGACACTTCCATAGCTGCTGTGCAGTGTGCCTCTATCCCCATCTTTTTGTGTTGGTGTGAGGTTGGTTTTTTTTTTTTTTTGAAGAGTGGTGGATTTGGAAGAGGGTTTTTTTTGGGTTTTCTTGGGTTTTGAGGTTTTTTTTCCTCCCTGAATTAACTTACTGCATGACTTTCTTCTAAGGAGGACTTACTATGAGAAACATTGCAACTAGATTTAATAGAGGCCTAAGCTGAGGCTGTTGGGGTGCATCTCAAAAGATCCAACGAGTGTAAAGGAGTAAGATTTTTCAGTTTGCATGTGTTACTGACAACTTCAGCACTTCTTATCTCCTACAGTTACACTTGTAGGATACAGCACAACTGTGTGATAGTTGGACTGGTTGAACTATTTAAAGAGGCGTATGTGTGTTTATTCAGAAGGCTGAGGAAGCTAAAGTATCTTCATGAGTGTTTCAATAGGCGGTTTCTCTCTCAGGGCTTGGCTGTTTACAGAACAAATTAGCTTCCTGTGCTTTTTCCCATTTAACAAACCATACATTCTATGTGTAAAAAGTGCTCCAAGAATAGTTTGGGCTAGAGAGGATTCTTGTTCTGTACTCAAGAGGGATCATCTGAGTATTTACTTAGGATGCCACAATTAGACTCTATGTGTTTTTGTGGTATTTTTTAATTTGTTTTTGTGGTTACTTCTTTCTGCTTATTTATGTCCCTCTGTGATTTTCTTTTTTTAAGCTTTGTCCAGTTTCTCTAATAACATATGAACACAGATGGT